ACCCACCTCATGATATCACCAACCTATGGGGAAGAGGGCATATTTAAATCAATCATGCCTAGTAATGAGGCACCAATAAAGGTTCTAGATATGGAAGCTCCATGGACTTCCTGGTTGATGAAAGACACTGATACACATGGAAGGGTAGTATATCCCTTTTTGGTACACAGAAGATCTATGTTAGGAACCCTCCTAGACTTTGCCCTATGCATCTCTTCCTTTGTATACTTTTTGTTATAATAAAGCTATAATCATAAGTATAGTGCTTTTCTGAGTTCTGTAAGTCATTTTAGCAAATCACCAAACCTGAAGTGACAGAGTAGCAGCTCAGAAGTGAGGGGAGTCCTAAGGACCCCTAAACTTATGGCTGGCATCCTGAGGGAATAGAAAACAAAATAAACCCATTGCCATTGAGTCGATTCCAACTCATAGCAACCCCATAGGACAAAGTAGAACTGCCCCATGGGGTTTCCAAGGAGCAGCTGGTGGATTCGAACTGTCATCCTTTTGGTTAGCAGCCAAGCTCTCAACCACTGTGCCAATAGGGTGCCAGGTAACCCCCAAATTTGTAGCCAGCAGGTCAGAAGTCAAGGTGTCATGAAGACTCCCAAGCTTGTGCCTGGCATCTGAGGTCTTGGGCAGACTTGGCAGTCTGAAGTACTGTGCCCTTTAACATGTGAGGTCTGACCTAACTCGAAGTGGTTAGGGTCAGAGGAGAAGTGCTGATGTACTAGCTGGTGTCAGAGAAGAGGTGTATTGATTTGATTTTTCAGCAATCTCCATAGAGGAAAGCCTTCAACAGAATTCAACACCCATTCCTGATAAAAACACTCAAAAAAATAGAAATCGATGAATACTTACTTAACGTAGTAAACTATATCTACCTCAATCCTAAAACTGTTGTTGTTGTTGTTGTTAGGTGCCACTGGGTCGGTTCCGACTCATAGCGACCCTATAGGACAGAGTAGAACTGCCCCATAGAGTTTCCAAGAAGCAGCTGGTGGGTTTGAACTGCTGACCTTTTGATTAGCAGTCAAACTCTTAACTAGTACGCCACCAGGGCTCCATCCTAAAACTAGTATTTTGCTTAATAAAGGAACCTTAAAGACATTTTGAGTAAATAAGAAACAAGTTAAAACATGACCATTAAGAATTCACTAAAGATATCAGTCAATGCATTGGACAAGAGGAATCATTTAGAGGTAGAAAAATTGGACAAGAATAAAATTGTTTATTTTCAGTGGAGATGACAGTGTATCCGGAAAACCCTAGAAAATGAACTATAAAACCTACTCAGATCATAAAAGAACTCACTAAGTTATTAGGATATATAATTAATTAATATGCAGAAATCTACAGCTTTTATATACATGAAAAATAACCAGTTAGAGGACAGCAAAAACTCCATTTATGATATCAACAAAGAAGATAAAATAATTGGGGAAAAGCAACAAGCATAATCTATATGAGAAAAAATGTAAAACTCTCCCGAAAGACACAAATATCATCTTGAACAAATGGAAACACATCCCTTGCTTTTAGACAAAAAGACAGCATCATACAAATGTCAGTTAATTTATAACTTTAAAACAATAGCAATAAAAATATCAATAATCTTTTTCACGGACTTAGGAAAGTCAATACTAAAATTTGTATGGAACTTTAGTATTTTTTAATACCAAGAATAGCTAAAAATACTAAAAGAAAGAGAGGTACAAGTGGGGACTAGCCCTACTAAACATGAAAACATATTTAAAAGCCTCTGAAATTAAAACAATGTTGTGCTGGTGTATGAAGAGACAAACAGGCCAGAAGGACAGGCTAGAAAATACAGAAAAAAAACCTAAGGATACATGTAAATATGTATATAATAAAGATGGCATCTGAGATCGTTAGGGCAAGAAGTTAAAATTAAGCCACATTTCACACCATTCACAAGAATAACCTTGTATTCCAAGTGGATCGGAGATCTAAATACATATTTTAACTTTTTTCCAAATGAGTATCTACTTGTCCCTTGTATTAAAAAGTCCATTTTTGCAGTAATGATCTCAGATGCCATTTTTATTATCACATGTTATTGTTGTTGCTGTTGTTGTTAGGTGCCATTGAGTCAGTTCTCACTCATAGCGACCCTACGTACAACAGAATGAAATACTTCCCAGTCGTACGCCATCCTCACAATCAGACCTATGTTTGAGCCCATTGTTGTGGCACCGTGTCAATCCATCTCTTTGAGGGTCTTCCTCTTTTTCCCTGACCCTCTACTTTACGAAGCATGATGTCTCTTTCCAGAGACTAGTCCCTCCTGATAACATGTCCAAATTGCATGAGACAAAATCTCACTATCTTCGCTTCCAAGGAGCACTCTGGCTGTACTTCTTCCAAGACAGACTCCTTCATTCTTCTGGCAGTCCTTGGTATATTCAGTATTCTTCGCCAACACTGTAATTCAAAGCTGTTAACTCTCCTTTGGTCTTCCTTATTCATTGTCCAGCTATCGCATGCATATGAGGCGATTGAAAATATCGCGGCTTGGGTCAGGCTCACCTTAATACTCAAACTGACGCTTTGCTTTTCAACACTTCAAAGAAGATTTTTGCAGCAGATTTGCCCAGTGCAATACATTGTTTGCTTTCTTGACTGCTGCTTCCATGGGCATTGATTGTGGATCCAAGTAAAAAGAAATCCTTGACAACTTCAATATTTTCTCCATTCATCATGATGTTGCTTATTGGTCCATTTGTGAGGATTTTTGTTTTTTTTATGTAGAGGTGCAATCCATACTGAAGGCTGTAATCTTTGATCTTCATCAGTAAGTGCTTCAAATCCTCTTAACTTAGAGCAATGTGTCATCTGCATATCGCAGGTTGTTAATGAGTCGTCCACCAATTCTGATGCCGCATTCTTCTTCATGCAGTCCAGCTTCTCAGATTATTTGCTCAGCATACAGATTGAATAAGTATGGTGAAAGGATACAATCCTGATGCACACCTTTCCTGATTTTAAATCACGCAGTACCCCCTTGTTTTTCTTGAACGACTGCCTCTTGGAGTATGTACAGGTTCCACATGAGCACAATTACATGTTCTGGAATTCCTAGTCTTCCGAATGTTACCCATAATTTGTTATGATCCACATAGTCAAATGCCTTTGCATAGTCAATAAAACACAGGTAAACATCTTTCTGGTATTCTCTGCTTTCAGGCAGGATCCATCCCACATTAGCAATAATATCCCTTGTTCCATGTCCTCTTCTGAATCCAGCTTGAATTTCTGGCAGTTCCCCATCGATGTACTGCTGCAACTGTTTTTGAATTATCTTCAGCAAAATTTTACTTGTGTGCGATATTAATGATATATGTCAATTATTTCTGCATTCTGTTGGATCACCTTGGGAATGGGCACAAACATGGATCTCTTTGTAACACTGGTATGCCAATTTGATTTTACATGTTGCTGTAAAAAAATTAGCATAGCGCACTTATGAAAATACCTTTCGGGGGAAGGCAGCAATTAGTAAACAAACATAGAAGATGCATGTTATTTGCACAAAATATGGTAGTCCCTGATTTACAATAGGGTTTCCTTCGGACAACTTCTACCCTACTTCTACTTTGACACCTTTACCCAATTTTCCCTCCAACAGCAAAGTCCTACTACACATACAACACCACCACAATTCAAAGGCACCAGTTCTTCTTCCATCTTCCTTATTCATCGTCCAGCTTTCACATGCACATGAAGAGATTGAAAACACCATGGCTTGGATCAGGCACATCTTAGTCTTCAAGGTGACATCTTTGCTTTTCAACACTTTAAAGAGGTCTTTTTGGAAGTTCTAGCTAGAGCAATAAGGCAAGAAAAAGATATAAAGGGCATCCAAATTGGTAATGAAGAAGTTCAACTGTCCCTGTTTGCAGATGATATGATACTATACATAGAAAACCCT